AAGCAAATATGACATAGAAAGGCATTTAATTTCAAAATTTTCCTGTTTTAATTATTTATACAGAAAATCTGTATCTCTTGTTTAATTTAAAAAACCTTTTTAACAGTCAAAGCAAAAACAACACTTAGTAGCTCCAATACCTCGTTTTATTGATAAATGGTCTTTATCTATTGATTATTGGTGGTTTGCCAGGTACAAAATTTTTGTGCCTGCTTTTTACTTGCTGTGTATTATGAAAATTAACAAAACAATATCTCATGAAAAAGATACAGATACAATAGGTCATCAATAAGGTCCCGCCACAAATGGAGAATCACCCAGTAGACCTGTGTCCCTGCCGTGCATTATTCTTGGTCCTCATTTTAGTTCTTGTTCCATTGTCTTGAAGATATTGGCATTAGCATATAATTGAAAATGTGTTTATCTTATATCTGCAATTCCCCTTGATTCAGTAGTTGATTCAGTAGTTGATTCAGTATTGATTCAGTAGTTGATTCAACAACCATGAGCTGAGTTGGTGTGGCTGCCTACTTCACGTTGCCACAATTTTTACCAGTTCTGGAGAAGGGACCACAATGTTAGTATACGATGCAGTCCACAATGACAATGCACGTGCCTAAGATACTAGGGACCTTGAGTCCCTGCACACTCAGGGTCCACCTGCAATAGCAATACTTTGAAGAATAACAAGAAATGACCAACTCGCAAAGTAATGAATTCTGTTGTGGACCTGGCATTCAGGCAGCCGGTTCAAGCTAGCATTTCGATATGCAAACCTACTGCTTTAAGATATAAGGCCAGTTCTCAGGGGAGCAGGAGCAGGACTGCAGGCACAATCCAATCTTAAACTTCTCTTTAGAGTCATGAAAGTTTAAGCCATGAGGTAAATATTTATCTGCCCTGGGTTTTTTTTAATAAAAAAAATTCTAAAAAGCCATACTAGAGCAGTATCTCATATTATTCCTCAACCTGAAAGAATAAAATAAGCTTTGGCATTCCAAAAAATCACCCATTTTCTCATTCTCCTTAAGTATATGGAAGAAACCCTGATACAGACTGTCAGTTACTTTATCAAGAAGCAGGGATGGTCTCTGTAAAGATTTTATCATATGGCAAAAAACTGTAAAACTGGGCCTCCCTAGTGGTGCAACTTATGAAGCTGTCCACAGCCTCTGCAGCATGAGTTCAATCCCCAGCCAGGGAGCTACCCACATGGCCCAGCAGATGTCTCCTGTCTTACCCGCTGCTCCCCTCAGCAGTGTATTTCAGTCAGTGTGCCTGTTCTGTTCCCCACTCTGTCTCTGGTGAATCCTCTTACCACTCCACCTCTGGCCTGTACCCCAGTTTTTGTATGCATAAATAAATCTTTTTTAAAAAATGTAAAACTCCATCATCAACACCAAAACAGACCCAAAACTTTATGTATCAAGCAATATGAATTAAGTTTCTTTACATCCTGGAAACTGTCCTTTCTCCTTAGCAGGCCAAATTACCACATGCCCGAGACAAGTGCCAAGAGACTTAACATTTTGTTACAGATAACCAACTGTGAAGGGAAGCGTCATTTTCCCCACCCCCACTTATCTACAGCCACCTTGTATCATGTCCCAGTATGCCATGAGCCAGACTTTCTGACTCAGGGGCAGCTGGGAAGGAGTGAGGTGGCTATACCATTAGAGGAGGGACATATGTGAAGAGGGAATTGGAGGAGAGACATATAAGGAACAGATAACAGAGACAACTGGAAGAGACGCGTGGATGAGAGGTACTTGGGGAGGCTGCTCTTGGTCTTGGCAGAGACAGTGACAGCCATAATCTTGACCACATGGTGGATTATGTGGTACATCTCGAAATTTGAGTCTCTGCTTCTGTCCCAATTCTTATGGTAACCCACTGGAAGGTACCTTAGACTTGCGGCAAGCTTTCAGGCCTCAGTGGCCCTCCTTCAGGCTGAGCCTGTTTGACTGGGTATTTGTGCACAAGGAGATGGGTAATTTGGGGAGTTTTGTTGGGAAACTATAATTTGAAGTCCTTTCTCCTCTCTCTTTATGCACACCAGTATTATTTTAAATGTTTCACAGTGAAAGTCTGCTACTTCTGCCCTGTGTGTGTAGATGCCCTTTCAGAACATGCGCTCCTTAACAATTTGGGGTACCTGGGTGCCTCTCAGACATGTCCTAAGAATTTTGGTTCTTAGGGCCAAATGTTCCTGATTGGTTTTGGTCACTAACTAATAGCCATTCCTTACTCAAACCATGCTAAGCGTTTTCCAAGATGAGCTCAAAATCCTCTAACTCTTATAACGTTTATCTCTATCAATGAGTTAATTTGATAATGGCGTCTGCATTTGGGATACCTGAAATCACTGCACCCTGGAAATTGAGTACAAGTGGCCCTGACCCTATGGGAGTTATGGATCCTGACCCCTACAGAGTAGAAAATACACAAATAACTTAAACTTGCAGGTCCTGCATCTCTAGATTCAATCCACTGACATCAGCAGTTGGTTGAATTCATGAATAGTGAACACAAGACCCATGGGCAGAAAAAAATAATCTACATGTAAGTGGACCCACATGGTCAATCCCATCTTGTTCAAGGGCAAACTGTTCGGGGAACTAAGCTGGAACTGGGAAAGTCATAGAAAAAGACTGAACTCCACAAATGGAAATCAGCGATGGAACCAATGCAGAAACACGTTTCTAATGAATAATCCCAGTTAAATCTCATATCTCTGGCTCTCTCTATGGAACTCAAAGTGCTTTACAAGCAATTATCAAATGAATCACCCAAACATCCTTGCACATCAGCAGGGAGAAGATACTATAATAGTCACTTAATGGATTGGAAAAACTGCATTGCAGAAAGGTTAAGTGGTTTACCAAATATTACAAAAGGATTCAGAATTAGAACAGTCCTCAGTGACCCTGATCTGGTCACCAGTCCTGCTGAAAAAGCACCTTTGTCTGTCTTCACTTTCCCCATGTAATAGAGATTAGCAAGAATGAATTCTTCTCCCTATTCACTGCTGCCTCTTGGTTCCCTGTTGTACCTCCTTATTTTTACTCCATAATGGAAATGGTGCTAGTAACATTTGCTTAGCATCACATCTCACTAAATGCTTTTGCATTCATCATCACTTCTAATTAAGCACACTCTATCTCTGCATTTTTCCAGTCCCTAATTCACATTGACTTGAAATTATCAAAGACACCCTATACAAGTGCAGTAGGAAGAGCGTATCCTCATCCAGCCACTATTTTCATTATAATACCCAAGATATCCATGTCATCTTTTGCCCTGTCATTATGCAGTCATGGGGCACCCTTGTGTGTGATCCAATGCTAAGCACCAAAGATAGGAAGATGATTAAGACAGAAACCACAAGTGAAGAAGTTTATAAATTACAAATAGCTATCGCGGGTGCCTCAGGTGAGGTATGAATCAAATGTTCATGGAACATCAGTGAGGGGGAGAAGAGTTCTGCTTCAGAGAGAAAGTAGAAACACTCCTGTGCTGAATTGTCTTTATTTGTCCCTTTCTTCACCTACTCCACCTACTCCCCTAACCTCTCTCTACTTGGGACCCCTGGAGCTAATCCTACTGGAGCACACCACCCTGTCGCTTGCCTCCAGCTTGTGGTTAGGCTTCACAATAGTCAGTCAAGGCAGGGGAAGAAAGGACAATGCAGAGAGAGGCTAGAATGTTCCCAGACCCACCCCTACCCAGTTACATTTGGGGGGCTCTATTTCTCTAGCAAAGGCCACAATCTTCTAAAGTCACAAGTTATGCTTAGTCACTATTCCCTTACTTGCTTCCTCAGGGCTGGTAGACTGTCATCTTTACAGCCCAGGAGAGTGTCACCATCTTTTGTATTACTTTTACCATTTGTTAAGATTTTTAAGCAAGAGGGCCTCCCCAGTGGCGCAGCAGGTTGAGCACAGCGCTGTGAAGCTGTCCACAGCCTCTGCAGCGTGGGTTTGATTCCCAGCCAGCTAGTGTGATTCCCAACATGGCGCAGCAGACCTCTCCTGTCTCGCCCAATGCTCCCTTCAGCAGTGTATCTTAGTAGGTCTGCCTGTTCTGCTCCCTACTCTGTCTCTGGTGAATCCTCTTACCCCCCACGTCTCTGACCTGTACCTCAGTTCTTGTATAAAAACAAATGAATCTTTGGGCCTCCTCGGTGGCGCAGCCGTTGAGCGCTGGGTTGCGAAGCTGCCCGCAGCCTCTGTAGCGCCGGTTCGATCCCCGGCTGCTCTCCGGCCACTGGAGGAGGGTCCCGCATGGCGCACAGACCTCTCCTGCCGCCCGCTGCTCCCCTCAGCAGTGTACTTCGGTCCTTCTGCCTGCTCTGCTCCCCGCTCTGGCTCTGGTGAATTCTCTCAACCCCCTGCGCTTCTGACTGTACCCAGTGCTTGTATAAATAAATAAATAAATCTGAAAAAAAAAAAAAAAGCAATGGAATGTTTAAGAAGCCTTTAAAAAAAAATGAATCTTTAAAAAAACATTTTTAAGCAAGAAAGAGAGAATTAGTGAATTCAGTAATTAAACAAGGAAGGTCCTGGAAACTCCCTGATTAGGAAGCTGCAAAAATTTGATCTCAGGCTATGGAGCTGACCCACATGGTGCAGCAGAACTCTCCTGTCTCCTATTCCAGCAGCACAGATACAACACTGGGTCTTCGTTACTGTCTACCCTCTTTCTCAAGGTCAACTTCTCTCTGGAGTTCTTGGTGCTCTTTCTTGTCTGTAGCCCTAGATCATTGCAAAGGCTTCCTTAACTTTGAATTTTAAAAAGATAGATTAATGTCTCTTCTGGAAGGCACTAAGGCTTCTTATGCAAATTACCCCCACTAGTACTATTTAATTCTACACACCAAGAGAAAGGGAAGACTTGAAAAGAGACACAGTCCTTTAACAGAAGCTCAGATGGAAACAAGTGTTTTGTAGCTTCTGTTCTCTCTCAAAATACTGCTAAAATGAGGCTCTTTAAACACTTACCTGCAAAAAAAAAGTGAGATGAGGAGATGCAATAACAGCAATCAAGCCTGGATGCCAAAAAGTAGACTGCAGAGCTGTAACTGAGAGAAAAAATAAGTTGTAGACACAGGTCAGGAATCAGGGTATCTGCCTTCTTAACAGAAGCACTGGATTGCAGCAGACAATAAAACAATAGCTTCAAAACTGAGCAAATAACTTCCACCTGGGAATATTGTTTCAAGTCACACTCTGCATAGAATATGGGGGTAAAATAAAGATTTTTCCAACAAGCAGAATTTCAAAATGAAAAAAAAAAAAAAAAACACCTCCAACACAGCAGTACTGAGACACTCTCCCAAATGAAACGAGTTACTGAACAAAACAGAAACCTCACATCCATTCAGGACCACCTACATATTTCAGGACCCATTGCAAAGTGAAAATGTGGAGCCTTTTGTGCAAAATTCATAAAGAATACCTGTTACAGGGCAACCCCAACGTGAAATGGGTTGACCAGACTGTGGGTCCTCACTCAAGTGCTTTAAAGGAACTTATAATGAGACTTAACTGCAGGCTCACACAAAAAGGTTAATAAAGGGTTTATTTACAAAAAGGAGAAATGAAAAGAGGAGTAACCCAGGGAGAAAGATAAGTATATACTGGTGAATGTGTTCTACCAGTTCTGCTGAGTTGGGACCCCAACAGCTACGCTGAAGCTGGTAAAAAACCAAGCACCTCCAAGGCCCACAAGTGTCTGGTTATACACCAAACCTGGCTGCTTAACTCCACCCTCAGTTCCCAGCAATCCTCCCTCTGGTGGTGATGACATTATGGGATTTGCAGTCCTTGGTGCCTGGGATCTCTTTGACCTGGGGTGGGGGTCGGGTCCATAAAGCCTGAGTTTGTGGCGTTCGTTCAGGACATCTCCTCCCAACATTTCAAGATCATGACATCAGAGCAGGAAATGAACTACTGAGTACTTCTCAGTGCCATTGTGATACAGGGCAGCAAGGGCACTAAAATTGGCCAAGGACACTGCCCATATAATTTACGGGTCACTGTCTGAGTTCTTCACCCATGCACAAAACTGCAAAACTGCTCAGATTCAGAGAACAACAATAATGGGATTTATTTAACAAACAAGGGAAAACAGAGAGTCACAAAGGCCACAAATGGCCATTTATCTCACCTAAAGCAGTGTCCGGTGCTTTACAGTCCTATCTGAACAAAGGCCACGCTCCCATGATGGCGTCTTCCAGCAGACAATAGGCCGGTATCCAGTTCACAAAGATAGCAGAAGACACAACAGGAGATGCTCCCCCGGAGCTGCCGAGACACCCCGACACATAACCTAACAAGTGACATTAGAAACAGCAGCTGCGGCAGCCAACAACCCAACACACGCAGCTCAAGAGGCGCCCAGCCGCAGGGGCCTTTCCTTTCCAGGCTGTAACAGCAGCAAAGCTGGGAACAGTTTCAGTCCCTGGGTTCCCTGCAAAGCCTCGGAACTATTATTCTCTGGGGTTGGCTGCTGGAAGACTCTCCACGTCCTTCAGAGGCTGCAACAGCCTTCTGGATGATCAGCAAGGTAGGGGCGGAAAAGGCTGACCCTGGAATGTCTGAAATCCCAAAAGCTAGCTAACTCCCTGGGCTGCTACTGCAGTCCTTTGTGTTTCTTATCAGAGTCTCCACCCAACAGATATATTGTTAGTATTTCGCCTGGGGCTATTCACCCCCACCTGTGCAACCCTTCAGGCAGCGCCACCTGTAACAGTCTTTGGCTGCAGCCCCTGGTTACAATTGCACAGGACCAATCTGGGGTCCAATCCAGGAAAGGGGAGAGGGAATTCCCAGAATGCTGGTGAAGGGAGATTCCAGAACAGTAGCTGAGCAGCAAGTCTTGATAATCACCATTCCAACTGGTGAAGCCAGAAAATGGAGTGTCCCAGAGGATATCTTCAAGGAAAAGAATGAAAAATTGACAGCACTCAGTGTGTTTTAACATATACTGAGAGGACATTTTTTACTTCTTGGGGAAAGTGCATGGAGGAATTAATGACGTGTACAGTCAAAGCAATTTTCCAGACAAATCAATTACTGGTAAGTGTCATTATTTTATGACAAAGTTGCTGCAACAGCAAAGGCGCTGTGTTCGGGATCTATGAAGACAAATAAGCAAAAACCTGACCTCCTGGCAATTACACAGTCTTGGAGATGTATATGTGAATCAAAGTTAGTCTTGGTGGAATAGTGGGACTTTTCTAAGAACTCAAGATGGAGAGAGGCCTTCTGGCTATATAGAGAGCAACAAGTTAAAAGACATGACAGATCATAACAAATTCTAAATCAGCCTGGATGAAAGGGAACTTATTGGCTGATGACAAACACCAGAGTAGGGAAATGTCCTAAATTGCTCTCTCATCATAAGCCACAAATTTCAATTCAAAGACAGATGTGCCAGAAATATATGCTAGTAAACAGTCCCTATTTGGGATCCTGTTAGGACCTATAAAACGAGCACATTTTGTTGTGTGCATATTGATTCCAGTGTACTGATTTTAATTTATTTGCTGTAATTAGACTTGCGTAATTACTGCAAGGAAATTCAATGAAAACAGGCTCAAACATTACTGTTACAACAGTTTCCATGTTACTGGCCTTTATTGGGATTCTCTCTAGCTTCAGGATAGGAATTTAGGGACAAAGTAGTACCCTCCCCAAAAGTAAGTAGAAAGAGTACTAGTGAAGCACAATTTTTGGGATTTTTTCTTTTTTTTTTGAAGGTCATTTTTATTACTGTTCTTATGATACATTTTGATTTTTGGAAAGTCCTAACAGTAAAGACAATCTCAAAAGAGAAATGCAAAAGTAATCCCAGGGCCTTCCTGGTGATGCAAGGGGTTAAGTCTCAGCACAAGAAGCTATCAGCAGCCACTGAAGCATGAATTTGATTCTAGGCCAGGCAGTGAGCTGACCTGCATGGCGCAGCAGACCTCTCCTGTCTCACCTGCTGCTCCCCTCAGCAGTGTATTTCAGAAGATGCCTGTTCTGCTCCCCACTCTGTCTCTGGTGAATCCTCTTACCCCCTACACCTCTGGCCTATACCCCAGCTCTTGTATGTATAAATAATATAAATCTCTAAGAAAAAAAAATCTCAAATTAACCCCCTCGACCCCTTAGAGATAAGCACTGTTTATCTTTTCCCACTCATCTTGCTTGATATATTCAATATACATAACTGAAAGAGTAGGTGAACTCTAGCACATAATTAGTGAAACGGTGTGTTACTCTGTGATCCAATTGATTCACTCAATATATCATGGGTATTTTATATATCTCAAAATATTATTTCCTTAACATTTTAGGGCCTCCCCAGGGGCACAGCAGGTTGAGCGCAGTGCTGTGAAGCTGTCCAAAGCCTCTGCAGCATGGGTTCAATTCCTGGCCGGCCAGGAAGATTCCCATATGGTGCGGCAGACCTCTCCTGTCTCACCTGCTGCTCCCCACAGCAGTGTATTTCATCAGTGTACCTGTTCTGTTCCCCACTCTGGTGAATCCTCTCACCCTCCTGCGCCTCTGGCCTATACCTCAGTCCTTGTATAAAAATAAATAACTTAAAAATATATAGTATTTCCTTATCATTTTAATAGCTACCTAGTACAGGGCCTCCCCGGTGGCGCAGCGGTTGAGCGCTGGGTTGCAAAGCTGCCCGCGGCCTCTGCGGCGCCGGTTCGATCCCCGGCTGCTCCCCGGCCACCGGAGGAGGGTCCCGCATGGCGCGCAGACCTCTCCTGCCGCCCACTGCTCCCCTCAGCAGTGTACTTCGGTCCTTCTGCCTGCTCTGCCCCCCGCTCTGGCTCTGGTGAATTCTCTCATCCTCCCGCACTTCTGACTGTACCCAGTGCTTGTATAAATAAGTAAATAAATAAATCTTAAAAAAAATAAATAATAAAAAAATAAAAATCACTTTAAAAAAAAAATAGCTACCTAGTACATTATCTTATGCATACAATAATTACTTTTTCTTAATTTAGTCTTAATATATTTCTAATTTTTTCAATGTTAAAAAAAAGCTGTAATAATGAGCACATGTCATTTTACTTCTGTAATTAATTCCTTAAGGTCTTTCTCTAAGTGGGTTTGTTGGGAAAAGAAAAAAAATGCTAACTGTCCTCCAAAGTTGTTTTTTTAATCATTTTTATAGTTCCTTGAACAGTGTAAGTATATACAAATGGCCAATAAACACACGAAAAGACATTCAACATCTTTGGTCATCAGGAAAATGCAAGTCAAAACCACATTTCACACTCACTGTCTTGGCTATAATAAAAAATACAGATAATAATAAGTATAACTGAGGTTGTGGAGCAATTGGAAACTTCACTGGTAGGAATTTAAATTGGTGCAACCACTTTGGAAAACTTTCTGATAATTCTTCAGCTATCATGTGACCCTGCAATTCCACAATGAAGTATAGACCCAAAAGAATTGAAATCAGGGACTCAAACAGATACTTGTATGCCAATGTCCACTGCAATGTTATTCACAACAGCTAAAAGAAAAAAAAAAAAAACCCAAGTGTCTATCATCAGATGAATGGATAAACAAAACATGGTATTTCCATACAATGGAATATTATACATCCATACAAAAGAATGAAGTTCTGATACATGCTGCAACATGGATGAACATTGAAAACATGCTAAGTCAAACAAGTATGCTCCCACTTATATGACAAATTTAAAATAGGCAAGAAACAAGAAAGGTCTTCTGTGCCTTGTGGGTTAGCGCCCTGATAGGGGATTAAACTCAGGCCACTGCAGTTGTAGTGCTGAGTTTTAACCACTATACCACTAGGGAGGCCTTGAGGTGTTTATTTTTTTAATGGTTAAAATAGCAAATTTCAACTTTTATTTTACAATTAAAACATGAAAAATACTAAGTTTCAAAGTTTAAAAACAAAGTGACATATGCCACCATATGGATAAACCTTGAAAATATTCTGCTAATGGGCCTCCCCTGGTGGCGTGGGTGGTTGAGCACCGCACTATGAAGCTGTCCACAGCCTCTGCAGCACCTGTTCAATCCCTGCCGGCAGGCGAGGGTCCCACATGGTGCAGCAGACCTCTCCTGTCACACCCGCTGCTCCCCTCAGCAGTGTATTTCATCAGTCTGCCTGTTCTGTTCTCTGCTCTGTCTCCGGTGAATCCTCTCACCCTCCCGCATATCTGGCCTGTACCCTATTCTTGTATAAATAAATAAATAAATCTTTAAAAAAAAAAAAAGAAAGAAAATATTCTGCTAAGACAAAGAAGCCAATCACAAAGACAGCATATCACCTATTGCAGACTACATGAACTGTCCAGGCCTGGGAAATCTAAAGACAGTTTAGTGGTTGCCAAGAACTACAGAATGAGGCTGAAAGGGGGTGAAAAGAAGTTTTATTACTATTGGATAGTGGGTTTTTAAAATTGGGGGTTGATGAAATTGTTTTAAAATTAATTTTACTGATGGTGGTTCAACTCTGTGAAGACACTAAAAAACCATTGAAATATACAGTATAAGTTGGTGATCATAAGGTAGGTGAATTATATCCCAGGAAAGTTGTTTAAATAACAGTTTTGAATTTTTCATGAATTCTTGATGGATGGGTTGGACCATTTTTTCATGTACATTAGCTATTTGCATTGACTTTGTTGTAAATGGCTTGTTTCTTTATTCTTGTTTTATCTGTTTTTTAATAATGTAAAGATCTATTCAGAGTCCACACTGACAGTGTTTTGTAAGTACCTTATGTTCTTGAGGTTGGACCAAACTACTGCAGATGGCATGCTTCAAGCCAAAAGAGAAGGCCAGTTCTGGAGATGCTAACAGCCTAACAGGTTGAATTCATTTTATTGGTAACAGAGCAGACACAGCACAGTAAGGCACCACAAAGAGAATGCTTGAATCTTCAGTACCCTTCAGGTGCTTTACAAATATGATCTCGTGTAATCGATAGTGTCTTTTTAAAAGAAAAGAGGCAAAGTTTTCAGTTGCCAGCTACTGCAACTGGGATTTGAACCTCATTCTCTTTGCACCCAAAGGGCTAGTCCATCTTTAGTGCCCTATGAAAAGTTTTGATCACATAAGTATCACCTATGACAGGAAGCCAGGAAAAGCTCTTGGTACTATCTGAGATCCAGACACCTATAACTGAAATACTGTTGAGCAGCAACTGGCACTATGAATTTGAAACTATCAGAATATATACTTCCTTCTCCCAAGGAGCTCATGCAGAGAAATTAATCAACACAAACCTAAATTCTTCAATATCCCCCAAATGTCCTTGTGGGCAGTTATGAGTCTC